TCTTTGAACTGACGGATAGGAACCTATAACATTTATGCAGGGCTTTGTTGACGTGCTTGATCGTAATACTGCTGTACATAATAATTGCTGCTGCTTGTGGTGGCATTACCCTACCGTCCTGCCGGAAACGGTGATTTCTTGGATCAGGGATGCTATAGATGATTCTGGGATGATGATTCTCAATACTATATATCGTTGGATTCTCCTTCCTCTAGCCCGTGTTAATCACTTCCAACTGCTCCTCGTTGTCCCAGAGCTGTGTGGAAATAGAACAATATCAAGAACCATGGTCATCTTCTTTTTTCTTTTTCTTTTTTTGTATATTATAAATGCTAGAATTTTTGGGCCTCCTGGTTCTCGTAAAATGTTAATTGTAGTTCCTTGTAAAACACCCCTTTCTTTTCTTTTTTTTTCCTTTATTTTTGGGTAAGCGACCTGTAGTTATGTTATTTATATTAGAACATAATTTGTTTCGGACTTTTATCGGAAAATTAATTATTTGTGGTAAAATTTCAAATGATTTGGCTAACGAGCGTCTCAATTTTAAAGGATTTCGCTAATGAGTGCCGAAGGTCTTATATGTTAATTATAGCGAAAATTGTTCAAAACGTCTCTTATATTTTGTAAAATGATTTTTTTCGCCCTTCATTTTTAAAAGTGTAATTTTATGTTTCTTACATATTCACATCGGTCAAATTTAGTTCCTAACTAGGTTTTCGATCATTTTTTAGCAGGAATCCATCACGTGCAAGGCACGTGATCATTTTTTAAGAGTAAATTTGTCAAATTATATTTTATATAATCTAATCTATAATCCTTCATATTTTATAAAACAAATTTGTTCGTTCCTCATATTTTACAAAATGAATTTTTCCATCCTTCATATTTCAAAAAATGAATATTTTCATCCCTCACTGATTACGTTCCAATTCCAAAAGCGAAATTGCATACTATTTTGTTAACTACCATAAAAGGACTTTAAAACTTTGCAGTTCAAACAAAGACCAAAAGATAAAAAGAGTTCATTTGGTTCAGTGGTCGAAGCAGTTGCAGGATCTGATTTCCAATCCCAAAAATGAAACTGGATACTATTTTGTTAAGTACTATAAAAGGACTTTTAAACTATTCATTTCAAACAAAAACCAAAAGAAAAACAAGAGTATTTATTTGCGCGGCTGATTAGTGATAAGCCATCAACTTTTGCCGCCCCACAAATCTTCCGCTTGATGTTGATCTTAGTATACTCGCGTTGGGTCCGTGTCTAATTCGGCCCTTCTTTAATGGGTTAAATGCAAAAAATCCCGCACGAACTGTATACAGAAAAGTCGGACACATATGGATCTATGGCTTCCGGGCTGTGTGGATCTGACAAGGGTACTGCAAATCTATGACACTGCCTGGCAGCCAAAAAGGCAAATTTTTTTTTTAAACTCTGACGGCCGGCAGCCGGCAGAATTCTGCAAAAATTTGCTGCTGCCATCATTCAATGTCATCGCATTCAATGCAGAATTATTGCTGCCATCGAATTATTGCTGCGGCCAGGCAGAATTATCGCTATTTTTAAATTCACAATTTGATAATGTCATGTTCTGCATTTTTTTCTTCAAATGCAGAATTATTGCTGCCATCGAATTATTGCTGCTGCCAGGCAGAATTATCGCTATTTTTAAATTCACAATTTGATAATGTCATGTTCTGCATTTTTTCTTCTTTTCATTTTTTTTGCCTATTTTGTTTTTATATTGCACAACAAATTTATATTTATAAAATTATATTGTACATTAAAAATTACATAATAATTTTAACAAATAATTTTTCAACAATTTGAGAACTGCATCTTATTATAAAATGAATGAGATTTTTTTTTTAAAACAGCCTTTTTTTAGTTTAACATCCTATAGAAGTAATTATTGATTTAACAAATCTGTTTTCATCTTTTTCTTACGTTCCAATTTTGAAACGTAATTTAATTAACTTAAAAGACTGTCGGATTTAGTACGTCAAGCGGCATAAGTTTTTAATAAAAAAAGGGGTGAAATTGTTGCATTGGAAAATGGGTGAAATTTTCAATATTATTTAGTGAATTTTGTACATGTCAAAACAAATATTGTGGTAGATTTTATTTTTTTAATTGAGTTTCATTTTTGAAATAATTGAGGCGTAAATATAAAAGAAAGGGTTGGGATTTCAAATATGATTAAAATAAAGGAACATGTGCAATTTTGGTCCCCCCAACGTTTGGTCTATGAGTTTAAACTAATCCGTGATATTTTAACCAAAATAATTATGATAGCAAATTTTTTATTTTAGCCAAATTTAGGGCAACTAATACAAAACTATAATATATAACGGTCAAATCAAGTTAGAATTAGTCAAAAGTTTGATTTCATATTTTTTGGTCCCTTATGTTTTAAATAATTATATTTCAAATGAAATAAAATGTGAATTAGATTGAATGCATAAAAAATGTGGTCTAAATCTCATTAAAATTCTTAAAAGTAATCCACATTGTCAAGACATATTAGTGTAAAGAGCATCTTTTCGTTAAATTAATTACCAACAAATGATAACACATAAATCATATATAAAAGAAAATTTAGTGAAAAAAAGAAAATCTTAGTCGCTGTTAGATGAAATCAACAGATCAAAGAGACGAAAAGTATATCTTCAATCATTCAATATTCAATGACATCAGTCACTTTCATTGAAACATGCAAAAAAAAAAAAAGTGTTTGACAAATTTCCAGTGTTAGTTTCGGATTGTGGAAAAATATAAAGGCCCCCATACGGAATCTTGAATGCGATGGCAGCAGCAATAATTCTACATCTCCTGCAAATTTTTGCAGAATTTTGCCGCAGCCGGGCTGACAGGCCAATGACTTTGTAAAAAAAAAGAATTTTGTCTGAGCTGTGTCAGAGTTTTTTTTAAAAAAATTTGCCTCTTTGGCTGGCAGCCATAGATTTGCACTACCATCTTGTGGGACCCATATATGTCCAACTTTTTTTTTTTCAACGATATTCCGAGTAATTAGCTATTAGAGTTTACCCCATAAACTATAATAATAGGCATTTTACTCCCTTGAATTATACATTTGGGCAACACTATCCTTACTATCTTAAATTTTTTCTTTTTTTCTCTATTTTTTCTCTATTTTTTTTCCTTTTCTCCCATTTCTTTTTCCTTTTATTTTCTTGCTTTGCCCCCCTGTCTCATGGAACTAGCCAATGTGTCCCTCCAATGCTAAAAGACTTACATCAAAATTTTAAATATTTTTTGAACTACTTTTTTAATTCATTCATTTTTAATATTTCATCATAAACTCTTTGTTATTACAATATATATGTAGTTTATATTGTAAACGATTTAAGTAACTTATATACTAATTCAATAATTCAACAATTTAAGTATCTATAACCAATTAAAGTTTATAATTACTCAACTATTTATAACAAAAGTAACTTATTATATATCACGTAAGAAAGAAAAGTTAACAATTGTTTTTTGTAGTGAAATAAAAAGATAGGAATAAATAACAATAGTAATTCATTTTTTATTTGTTATTAATACTATTAATAATTGATTAATCAATATCTCTATTTTGTTCTTATATATTTGAATAGTTCAAATTCTTAAATGATATTGACTTCTACATTTGGAAAAAAAATCTTCTACACCATAGAATTCTTTTATAAAATGTTGACATGAGAAATTAAGAAATAAACAAATTTTGATTAATTTAGTATACTAATTTAAACAATGTTTAAAGAAAATAAAGAGGAAGAATCTAAAAAGAAAAAGATAGGGAATAAAAAAAATAACAATGCTTAAGATAATGGGGTAGATTTGTCCAATTACATAGTGAAAGGGGGCAAAACGCCTATAAAAATAATTTGGGGAGTAAACTGCAATGAGGTATATAGTTCATGGGGGGTTTTTTTTGCATTTAACCCTTGTTTTATTTGTGTTGCTATTTGCCCACTTATTTTTTTTTTCCTTTGGAAAAAAACTTTTTGTTTCCCTTTTTTTTAAAGTAATAAATTCCTACTAATGCAATGCAAAATGTTATATAAAAATGATAATGCATGCTCTTACTTAATTGGTTAAAAACTCTACCAAAAAAAAATGAGATGGTGACCATGTACCACTCCTGTTACACTTTTGGTTTTCTGATTTATTTCACTTCATTTTTCCTGAATTTTGATGGTAGGCTAATTCCTCAAAATATTGTCAAAATATAAAAAAAAAAACTTGGCAAATATGGCTTAGACAGGATTTGTGTTCAAAACTATGCCTGCCGTACTGTGTTAGTACAACAAGCAACAAGGTTTTATTTTTTTTAAAAACATTTGTTCAGCACAGCAGCCCCTGTTTGTGTTTGTAGTATGATACGATTCATTAATTCATGTTTGTAGTATGATCAATCAATCTTGTGTTTTGTGCCTTTTAGTTTGCTTTGGCAGGATTACTATTTTAGTTCGGACTCTAAAGCGAGAATCAAGGTAGGTTTCTTATCATGCACCCATTAATATCTAATCTAACAATACAAGGCATCCCCTTTTTTTTTTTTCCCAAAATCCGCTCTCTCTGACTATGATTTTTGGTTCCTATCCAAGAAAAAACAAGTCAGCACGGCAGCCCCACGAATTATTTAAAAAAAAAAATGATGGGTGCCGTGTTGGGCAGGAATTTTTTTTTTTTTAAAAAATAAAATCTTGTTACCTGTAATACGGCATGCATAGTTTTAGACATTAAGTAAGTCTGTCAGAGCCACATTTGCTAGATTTTTTTATTTTTTGGTAATATATCTACTTGAGTAATTCTGTAAATTCTACTCCAACATATTTTACTAGTTTTGCATTACTACTTAACTAAAGTGGAAGCTGATTCACATCAAATCTCTCCTATGCATACATGATTTATTTTTTAACTAAAGACTAAAAGGTTGTCTAATATGACAACACAGGTGATAAAATGCCTAGCAGAAATGAGGCGCCATATCCATACGGCCAACTAGCTATGATTAAGTTAATAGCTACAAGAATCTACTATATTAATTCTTGTTAAAGTTGATAGAAACGACCAAGAATCGATTATAAAAAGCATCCATTTCTTGCCATTGCTGGTCCTGGTTGGTTGATTCTTCATTGTCTTCATTAGAGTACCTAAACGCTTTCTTCATCATCAATTCATCATAAACATTTCCCTTCACTCCTCTCTTTTCTGCCTAAACCATCAAAGTTAGATTTTCAATTCAGTCTTTTGTCAATGGAAACTCTTCTGAGGCCGTCTCCATTTCTTGCACTTTCAACTTCTCATCCTCCAATATCATGTTCATCACTGAACCCTCGATTTGTTTCTCCTAAAACCAAAACTTCTGCAAGAAACGTTCGTAACAGAGTCAGAAGCAGCAAGTTTAATTCCTTTCTTGACTTACAGCCTGCATGGAAACCTGAACCTTTAGACTTTGATGTATCGTGGCTTGATCCTTCTGATCGTCGCTTTGATTTGATCATCATTGGAGCTGGACCAGCTGGTTTAAGACTAGCTGAGCAAGTATCAAGATACGGGATTAAGGTATGCTGCGTGGACCCTTCACCATTATCTATGTGGCCAAATAACTATGGAGTTTGGGTTGATGAATTTGAAAGTTTAGGCCTTGATGATTGTTTGGACAAGACATGGCCCATGTGTAGTGTTTATATCAACGATCACAAGACTAGGTACTTAGACCGTGCCTATGGTAGAGTAAGTAGAAAGGAACTCAAGATTAAATTGTTAAGTGGTTGTGTTTCAAATCAAGTCAAGTTTCACAAGGCTAAGGTTTGGAAAATAGAGCATCAAGAATTTGAGTCTTCTGTTGTTTGCACTGATGGAAGTGAGCTGAAGGCAAGTTTGATCGTTGATGCAAGTGGATATGCTAGTCCTTTTATTGAGTATGACAAGCCGAGAAACCATGGTTATCAAATTGCTCATGGAATTTTAGCAGAAGTTGATAATCACCCCTTTGATTTGGATAAGATGGTTCTGATGGATTGGAGAGATTCCCATCTAGGAAGTGAACCAGATTTGCGCAAAGATAACTCAAAGATTCCAACTTTTCTGTATGCGATGCCATTTTCTTCAAATTTGATATTTCTTGAAGAGACCTCTCTCGTTGCCAGGCCTGTGTTGTCGTATATGGAGGTTAAGAAAAGGATGGTGGCAAGATTGAGACACTTAGGCGTTAAAGTAAGGAGTGTTATAGAGGAAGAGAAGTGTTTCATTCTGATGGGAGGGCCACTGCCTAAAATCCCTCAAAGTGTGATGGCAATTGGTGGAAATTCAGGCATAGTGCATCCTTCAAGCGGCTACATGGTGGCGCGGACAATGGCTTTAGCACCGGTGTTAGCTGATACAATTGCAGAGTGCCTAGGCTCAACCAGAATGATTAGAGGGACTCCACTTTATGATCGAGTGTGGAAGGGCCTTTGGCCTGTTGAGAGGAGACGTATCAGAGAATTCCACTCTTTTGGCATGGAGACCTTACTGCAACTCGACTTAAATGGGACTAGAAGATTTTTTGATGCTTTCTTTGATTTAGATCCTCACCACTGGAAAGGGTTTATGTCTTCAAATTTATCACTAAGGGAGCTTGCCATGTTTTGCCTGTCTCTGTTCGGTCATGCCTCAAATCCTTCCAGATTGGACATGGTCACCAAGTGTCCAGCCCCTTTGGTCAGAATGATCCGTAATATGGCACTTGAAACCATTTGATTCTGCAAAATTATTTTTCATTTTCAGGAAAGACAGTGATGAAATAATTTTGTTATTTTGCAGAACTTTGTATTTGATGGAATGATTGTATGATTATTGCTGTCATGAAGTTTCACTAGAAGTTTAGGATTAGTCAAGTATGCATTATCTTCAGACATTTCCAATTCATTCAAACATATTCACTTCAGATTTTCAGCCAATGATTTAAGGCCTTCGGCATCAGAAAGTCACTTAAGTTCAATGACCCTGTGCTGCTGAAAGTGAACAATATCAAGGACATGGCGAATCCTAAATATATAGTTGCCTTGTTAAGCTTGTAGAATCAATTGGCACTTAATAGTAAGTTAAAAAGCAGCAAATCAAAATGCTGAGGTTTGTGTTTTATATTCCTTCCACAAGAATATATTGTAAGAACAGTATGCTGATAGTCTGAACGAGTACTTCAGTACAAACTCATTTTAGGCAAATCATACGATAAAATACCGTAGATGTTCTTTTGTAGTCGCTGATCAAGGTAACCAATCAGATGCTTCTTGTGGTTGAGTCCTCCCAAATTAACCAATCAGGTGTACTTTGAGTAAATGTAGGTTCCTCCCACCCTGACCATGGACTTGGTGGTGGTGTTTCCCCTTGATACGGTGGTGGTGGTGATGGTGACGGCGAGATTGAAGCACCACCAACTGGTGGTGATTCACTTGGTGGTTGTACTAGCGGAGGTGATGCATGTGGGGATTGAGTAGGTGACCTGTGAAAATCTGGGAGTCCAAAGAAAGGCCATGGGATGGGGGGCCATTTAAATCCTGGGAAAGGCCATGAGAAAGGTGGTGATGATCCACTTGTTGGCTTTGCTAGTGGAGGTGGAAAAGAAGGGGATGGAATAGGCTGCCATTTAAATCCTGGGAAAGGCCACGGGAAAGGTGGTGATGATCCACTTGGTGGTGAAGAAGGTGGCCAGTTAAATCCTGGGAAAGGTGGCCATTTAAATCCAGGGAAAGGATCCCAGTAGAAGCCAGACCAATGTGTTTTATCTGGATAGCTATTCTTGATGCCATGAACAAAGTAAACCTTTCTAGGGAGGAAAGATTTTTCACTGTTTTCAGCAGCTAATACACAAGAAGCAGATAGCAGAATTGCCACAATAAGGTAGCCTAAACATGCCTTAAATGCTGCTGCTGCTGCTGCTGAAGATCTCATTGCAACAATGTAGCTAAGCTCAGTAGCTTTTCTTGAGATGTTGGTTTTCAACCTCAACGAAGAAATTTATAGGTGTGTCTGGGGTTGGAGATTTAGTATGGAAAGCTAATTATTTAATTTGCTTATAATTAGGCTGTGTGGCAGTACATTTCATCTCTGCTAAAGATCCCTCTATTAGCTACCTGCATTAATCTCAGTATCTTTCTTCTTCTTTCTCTTTGTCCATGAACAGATAATCATTATGATTGTTAAAATTTGTTTAAATTCAGGGAAGTCTAGATACCAAGCAGATCTCCTTGATTGCACCTGCCTTCATTTTGGTTAATGCATGGACTCCAGTATTTTAACCATATGTACTTTGTATCCAGACTGGTTGTTTCATTGACTCCTGAACTGTCTTCAAATCTGCATAGGGGGTTTTTCCTATAGGTGTCCAATTGGCACTCCTTACCATATCTAAATTCCATCCAACCTATTCTCTGTATGTACACACGCTAACAATTATTACTTTCTCTTGTACTTATATACTTCCCCTAATTAATTTTACCTTTCCAAAAATCGAACATCTGAAGTATATTTTAACAAGCGTCCATAGATAGACCCTTAGCATAAATCGAATTCTTTTAAAAACTATGGCAGAAAATCTAGGACACAAAACAAAAATTAGCTGAATACATACGGTGGAATAAGAGGTATATCTATTGTATTAATGCTGTTTTGCATGATCTAATAAATAACTTATCGGAACAATTCTTACTAAGAAGCAACCAGAGAAAATTAGAGTTCAGTCTAATTCAGCTGATTCACTGCATGTTCTTTAGTAATCAACAGTTTGACTTGGGCTTTTAAGTTTTCATGAATGTTCAATTAGTCAAATAGCTAACTAAAATCAGAAAATAAATCTTTGAAAAGATGGATCTAAATTCAAAGGTTCCTATATATTAATCAAGCCATGGTACAAGTCTAAATCATCAAAAGGGTGAATTTAAGCAGATAACTGCTAAACAATACGCCAAAACTGCAGACAATGCGAGGCGCAAGAGAGACTAAATAATAGAATTCCATTGTTTGTATATGATACATGTTTGAGCCTGTAAGAGCTATGCTGTACAGTATCTCAAACGAATTTCAGCTGCATCCAGTTATAATCCTACACTATCCAACATGTATCATGAGAAGCGTGCACAAAACACACTTCAAGCATCAGTTCAGAATTACCACAATGACTATTTTCTTCTCTCTCTCTATTTCCTAAAACAACAGGAAGATGAGCCAAGGCATTTCAGCTAGTACTATCAACTTGTATCAGTTGGCTGGGTTTATTGTCCAGCGTCTTGTTTATATAGCATGCTACAATCTTGCACAAAGAAATTGCAGAAACCTCTAAAATGATCAAAAATTAAGTGACTATTCACATCATTTTTAACTCGTCCTTCTCAATTTCCAACAGCCCCTAAAAACTTTCCTTTTCCCCAGGAGAAAATACAAGTTTAATCTCCACTGTATTTCCACCTCATATTCAACCCTCACTTTCCTTTTCTCAAAGAGAAAATGCAATGAATAATTAAAGGAAAACATCCCTTCCCCAATTGACAATGTATCGATTAGCATTATTTGAAGTAAATAAAGCAAAGGAACATTAGACAGTAAACTAGAAGGGGAAATAAATAGAACTGATCAAAATACTTCCAAGCAACAATCTTTCCTAATTTCTTATAACTAGAGGTGTGAAAATGGATGACTTGGGCAGGTATGAGTTGGTTAAAATGGGTAATGGGCATAAGTGAGTCAACTCATTTATACCCATTTAATTAAATGGGTATAAATGAGTAAGTCAAAAAATGAATTGGATAACTCAATTATCCATTTATAACCCATTTATTTTAACTTTTCATAAACTCATTTAAATTCATTTTTGTAAACTATGTTATCAATTTGTACCACCCTTTGCACCCATCATTAGTTTTAAATATTTATTTATAATGTTCAATAAACCTAGTTACCAATTTTTTTTTCATCCGTACTCTATGTCGCAAAATTATATACTATTTAATAATTGAACAATAAGAATATAAAAATTTGACATAAGTACTATAAAAGTTAACATAAAAACTTGATTCAAAAATTTTGAATTCCTAATATTTTTTTCGTGTGTAAATTTAAAATTTCATTTTGAAAAGGTGGAAAAAGAGGCTAAAACTTGTCATAAATTGATAATGCTAAAAAAATGAGTAAGTTGACAAACTAAGAGAAAATAATATGATAAGATAAAACCCATAATTAATAATAATAATAAAACAAAAGTAGTTAACATCATGACAAAATGAAGAATCTGAAAAAAAAAATGGGTGAAGGAAGAGAGGAGATTTGGGGAAAGACAATTTTAAATGGGTTAATTGGGTTTGATGTGTTATCAATTAATATCCATTTATTAAATGAATATTATTGGGTAATCCATTTGTACACATATACAAAAACTTAAAATACCGATATCTTTCTATTCATGGACGAATATGGATAAATTTAGTTAAATGAGTTTGTTTGCCACCTATACTTATAACAATCAAAATCCACTTTTATGGCTAAGTATCATACATCACTTGACTATAGGACATCTTCGTTTAATGTATATCTCTGCCATCTGCCAAACAAATATTCCTCTCCCACCATGCTTCATCCCTTATTTATATACCCTGTACCTCTAGTATCAAAGCCATTCTGCAACCATGATTTTGTTTTTTTTTTCCAAAATTTATAAACCTTATAACTGATCCCAGGAAGATTCTAGAAACTGGCGTGGCCAACGTGTTAGATCAAGAGAAGAAGGGCTAAGGCCATCAACACTACTATCTTTAAATTTAGCTGGAAAACAATTACAGAAAAAGGAATTATCTACATCCTGTAAAATACCAAAAATTATATGTACCAAAGATTCAGGGACCCATCCCAATAGCTGCATCACAAAAAAAATGCTTAAAAAAATCATTTCCTTCCAATGGCTCATACTTAAAAGAAAATTTCTAAATGATCCAAAAAAAAAAAAAAGAAGACAAGAAAATTAGCTTAAAATAAAGAAGAAGAAAATTTTGGGGCAGAAATGATTGCGCAACCATTTTCTAAATGGTATAAAGCTTTAGTGACAAATTACAATTCATTGTATACAAGACACAAGTTATATAATTTCATAACAGTGACATGAATTAATAAGATTGTTAACAATTAAAAGTATGTGTTATGTTATTGTTAGGTAACATTATCTGAATCCTACTTCTCAAAAATTTATTTTGTTGGCAAAGTTTAAACTGTTCTAATCGATCCAAAAAGGAAAAAAGAGAAATTAAAGTACACGGTTCAGATCTATTCTCTCTCTCTCTCTGGGGATATTCCAACCACGTGCAATATAGTTTGCTAATGATAGTTTCCTCTGGTAGAGAAAAAAAAAATTGATGATGGGAGAGCTTTAACAAAATGACAACCGCTATAAGAAAAACCCTAACCGCTAATCTATTTGTCATGCATGCAGACGAAAATCTCCACTTTGTGTCCATGTTAAGTTGGTTGACTTGGTTGTCCATTCAGTAACAAAATCAGTGACGTTTCTATAAGGACTCCATTAGTTCTCGATTTTGGCAAGTTTAACAGTTAAATTTGAAACTGAGAGTAGCAATTATGCAGATATATAGCCGTCTAAAGAGATCCAAATTCACTATTAATGCTCTTTTATAAACTTGTGAATCCGAAAAGCCTCTTAGCTAGGGATATTTCATGCTTGCACCTGATAGGCAGAGTTTTAAGAGGAAAATGAATTAAAAACTTTACTAAGGAGTTTTTAAGCTTTTTATTCTTTTCTCTTGGTATCTTTCCCTTTTCCTTCTCCTCCTCACCTTTGATGAAGAAGTACTCATGAAGTGTAAAGAAGAAAACTTTCATCTAATTAGGAGATACTTAGGGATGCAATTTTCTGGGATTTTTTT